GACTATACATTTCAAGGAAGGGAATGTTAGTTACATGTTCATTTACTCAGTCTGTATATTGTATTTATCCTAATTTAATTTTTTTCTGTTTCCTTTCTGTTGAAGATCTTTGATCATCAGATTTTCTCTGAAAAAATAAAAATTGATTTAATATTATTGGGCATTAATTTTTTCTAACTTTCTTCAAAATTCTGATTTGAACATGTATACGCTAGTCCTGTGGATTTCAGTGATTGGACCAAGCTTATGTCAAAGCCAATTTTTCAATTTTGAATTTTCAATGATAACCACAAAAGTAGCATTTGAATTCTAAGCAACTTGTGTGAAACTTGTCATGATATGGACTAATAAAGATCTGGAGGAGAACTCTGGAGTTTCTTTTTCCTCAATTAGGCAGGCGAGACCAATGAACCAGAATGTACTGAGACTGACAACCATATGCAATAGCTGGCCTGCCAGACCAGCTTTTTTTTTGTTTTTGGAGAATTTTCAAAAGTTCCATCTCATTGGATTACATTTTTATATATAGAGACCAATCTAGTCCAACAGTTCTGATTTACAACAACATTCTCTCTATTGGTGGACTGGTTTGATTGGAAAGTTAAAGCAGGAATAATGATATTTACAAGTGCCATTAGTTTTGGTTTCCTTTTTATCCTTATCGGCTTAGAAAATAAAGGAAGTAGAGTTCATGTCCTGGAAGAGTTAATCAATTGTTGACCAGAGTAAGTTAATTAAAACTGCTCTAATTAATATTTACCTGAATATGAAAAGCCCCAGCATTGAGTCCATTTGCTATTAAATCATGAAGTTTGATTGCTTTCTCATGAGTTGATGTCAAGCTTTGTTTTACACCTTGAAATTGTAAGAGAATAAAACATATAGTTTATGATTTCTTTCAACAAAGTTGTTGTAAAATTCACATTAACCACAAGTCAGATGATGAAACAAAGTTAAATTCATCATGACATCCTACTTTGATATAATTTTTAATAATTGGTAGTACATAATTTTTATTATTTGTATAAAAATCGTTTTCATCACCTCCATTGCCTTCAAATGCCTTTTCTACAGTGTCTCTGTGGTTTTCAAAGTTGTCAAGCTGAAATGTATAGATATGCTGATACAATGAGTCCAGTGTCTGAGATTCATTAATAACATTTTGTAATATACCGTCAAAGGGCTTCCATAATCTACGACAAGTTCTGTAAGTTTCAAGAATCTGTGCATTAACATACCAGTTCTTGAGCATTGTTCAAATCTTTAACTTCCTGTTTCAAAGCTGCATTCACATACTTTGCCTTGAAAACAAGAATGTATGATGTGAACAGATTACATGATAATTGGATTAAGAACAAAAACTCAATTGTTATTGCTCATAGACCAGCAATAAAAAAGGTGTCTGCCTTACTGCTTTGATTTTTCTTTCAAGTTCTTTAAGCTCTTCGTCAATCTGTTTTTCATCCTTCACTGTATATTGGTGTTCATGATGTACCTGTGACAAGACCATACTTATGCCCTATTTACTATTAATTATATATATCTTAATAGATGTTTTGTTGTGTAGTATGGCTGAGTATTTTCATGAGTTGTGCTGTATTTTGGCCAGCCTGTAAGGCGAGTCAAAATACAAACAACAGGTAAAAATGCACAGCAATACTACACAACAAAACATCTAAGAGATTTATTATCCAACACACCAATTTGTTATTTCAGTGCGTGTGAATTTTGTGGATATTTCTGGATGTGATATTTGTACTCGCCTTGTGCGTTATTTGTATTCTATGAAGCACAATTGGATAATAATAAAAGTTATTCCTTTGTTGGGAATATTCAGCTATAAGTGCAACTGTTAATGTGTTGCATTCTACGTGCAGCTGTCTAGTCTCCAGGCCTGATTGGGATAACTCTGTAATATTCTTAGGCAACATAACTTCAACCTCCCGGTTAGCTCAATGGATAGAGCGCTGGACTGTTGTGCGGGAGGTCGAGGGTTCAAGCCTCGGCCGCACCAACACTCAGGGTCTTAAAATAATTGAGAAGAATTTGCTGCCTATCTATAACATCAAGAAATGGTTAAATATTCTAGTCTTCTCGGATAGGGATGAATAAATGGAGGTCCAGTCTCCTACAGGGTTGGGGTAGGAGATGTTAATTTCCCACACATGAGATTACTGTGTGATGGATGTCCTCCCCTGGGTGGGATGGGTGGGTTTACAGAGGGCCATGTGTTAGAAAACTCTTTACTGGGTTAATCATGTATTTACCCTCTTGAAATAAAGAACATTGTATTGTATTGTATTGTATTGTATTGTATTGTATTGTATTGTATTGTGGTGTTGCAAAAGACGTAGTAAATTTTTATTCTAGACCAGTTGTACTAATTATTATGCTTGGGGGTCTTGGGACAATTGCAGCAAAGATATGAATTATATCAATTATTTGACACTTAG